GAAAGAGTCCAATTTCTTTTTGAATCTTGGTAATTGGGTACTTTTACACGCAGATCACGCTATTTGGATAGAATAACAAGCTTAGAAAGATCAGTGTCTCTAATCTGCCACACATTTCTACTTCTCCGCTTTATTATTTTTTTTTTATTTAGCTCCCCCCTCCTTTCCCCAGTGATTTTTTTAAATTTATTTATTGCTCGTCTCGCATAAATATAGCAAAGGCAACAAAGTAGCGTGTATTTTTCGGTGGCACTAACTATGCGTTGGCCCGTATTGTCTGTCCTCTTCCCTGTTTCGCGGGAGGCTGCCCGGGGCCAGGGCAGAGCAGTGATAATGTGGGATGCAGCGCCCTCTTTTTTTAGGGTTCATTCTTTTGGGAAATTCTTTAATGTGCAGTGATTTCACGAAGGACAATGAAGCCATTAATCATCCCCTCGCCTCTTGCTTTGGATACACATTTGCAACACAGAAGGGCAAGAAAACAATCGTTATACCTCCATAGCTTTGCATACATATGCCCTATGTCTACATATACATATAAGTTACATCCATCACAGACAACAAAACAGGTCATATGCAACTTATCCCTGGCAGGGGAGGATCACTTCACAGTTTGCCCCTTCACACGGCGGGGCAGGAACCAAATATACATGCAATAGGCAGCTGATCATTTTCATTAAAAAAAAGAGTTTTATTACGAAACTAGTTTGTATAAAACAGGGTTATACAGGACCTTTGTAAGTTCGTCATAGAACAATAAGAAAAGGCAGTGGCGTCAGGTTCTCGTTTGTTTGCTTGCTGGTTTTTTTGTTTTGTTTGCTTTTTTTTCTCCTTTTCCCCCTCGAAAAAAGGCAGTATATACAACAAATGGCTCCCGTTTGGCGTTTGGACAATAGCTGCATAAAACTTTGTTCACTCTGAACACGGTTTAATAACATTATTAATACATTAAGAAAGTTGCTATAAAGTAAGACACGTTGGTGCTAAAGTACATCTGGAGGAACCCCCGAGTCCTTTACAACAGCCACATACAAAAGATGGCAGTTGTAAGGTAAGGTGGGACTACACGTCTAAAGAGCAGGAGGTAAGAAGCATGACATATTCCCCCCAAAAAGGACACACACACACAAAAAAGTATCAAGATATACACATTTTAAAACCATTTGTACAAAACCTCTATAAATCTCTCTCTCTCTTATGTACAAAAATAGCTTAATATATCCCCAAACTGGTTAGGATAGATACAAATAGATTTGTTTTGTTTTGTTTTTCTTATAATAAAAAAATTCACAAAAAAAGATTGGAAGCATTTTGAGGAGGGAGGTGGTAGCAAAAAAAGAGGTCGGGGTGGGGTGGGGGAAGGGCTCTTTGAGTACAGCAGAGTTGAATTTCCAAAATGAGGGGACTAAGTTTGTCCACAGGGGTTAGGGGACAGGGCTGGAAGAGGGGGAGGAAGAGGAGGAGGAGGATGCGGGGGAAGAGCTCCTCGCTGGGTGGAGGGTAGGCAGCGCTCTTCCCCGGCCGGAGGGGAGGGGGGACGCCGGCCGGCGAGGCCGCATGCTTGAGCAGGCAGCTTTCAAGTCCGTCGTGGTCCTTGAGCGGAGTGCAAAGGCAGTGAGTGCTTCAGTCTTCCTGGAGAGGCGGCCCCCCCACTCCCCCTCGTGTGCTTGGGCTGGAGAGATCTCTGCACACGCTCTCTCTGTCACACACACACACACGCGCGCGCGCATACGCGCGCACACACACAGATTTCCTCCGTGTCCTCCCGAGAGGAGCGGGAAGAGGGGTGGGGGTGAGCGGGGAGGGAAGCCCCGCGCCCAGGAGCATCCTCCCCGGGCCGGGCGACTCAAAACCAGCTGGTGAAGTCCAGCAGCTCCTGCTCCTCGGGGCTGAGCGGGTCGTAGGATCCTTCGTCGGAGGAGTAGGAGGAGACGGGCGAGCCGGCCATGGAGTTCATGTCGTTGGCGTAGCCGGGGGAGATGGTGGGCGAAAGCACGCCGGCCTGGAAGGCGGCGCTCACGGCGTCGTGCTCGTCCAGCCGCTGCTGCAGGGCGCGGATGTACTCGACGGCGGAGCGCAGCGTCTCCACCTTGCTCATCTTCTTGTTGGCGGCGCCGTTGGGGACGTGCTCCCGCAGGGTGGCGAAGCCCAGGTTGACCAGCTTCACGCGGTTGCGCTCCCGCTCGTTGCGCCGCGCCACGGTGTACTCGACGGCGGAGCGCAGCGTCTCCACCTTGCTCATCTTCTTGTTGGCGGCGCCGTTGGGGACGTGCTCCCGCAGGGTGGCGAAGCCCAGGTTGACCAGCTTCACGCGGTTGCGCTCCCGCTCGTTGCGCCGCGCCACGG